AAATTACGTCATCAAGCGGAAATCGCTGTGCAATGGCGGCGGTATATCAAGCGTTTGTGATCTATTTACAAATACTCAGCTGCTACGGTTTCTATGCCAGGAATTTTTAAGTAGATATTGTTTGGGATTATTAAGCTCGAAACCTTGTTACATTCGACTAAACAATGTCGTAGTAAGTTGAAGGATTGTGCCCTGAAGATTTCCAGGTGAAAGCGAGACTAGCCATACTTGCAAGCGTGTCGGGATGATCCTCGCCGTTCGTCTTGCTCGCCTCCATAATCTGTACCTTGAGCAGCTCGGCCTTGTCCCACCGACCCTGTTTCCGGTACGTCAATGCCAAGCTTGCTAAACTGGACAGCGTGTCGGGGTGATCCTTGCCGAGCTTCTTCTTGCGAGCCTCCATCACCTGTTCGAAGAGATGCTCAGCCTCTTCCCACCGGCCCTGCCTCCAATATTTCGATGCTAGGTTGGCCATAATAGACAGCGTGTTCGGGTGATCCTCGCCGAGCTTCGTCTTGCTAGCCTCCATCACCTGCACATTAAGCTGCTCTGTCTCCTCCGACCTAACCTGTCCCTGGTACGTCGATGCCAAGCTGACGGTACTTGTGAGCATGTCGGGGTGATGCTTGCCGAGCTTCGTCTTGCCAGCCTTTATCATCTGCCACTCAAGCTGCTGGGCCTCTTTCCACCGACCCTGTTCCTGGTACGTCGATGCCAATCTGGCCATACTAGATAGCGTGTCCGGATGACCTTTGCCGAGCTTTGTCTTACGAGCCTTCATCACCTGCACCTCGAGCTGCTCGGCCTCCTGCCACCGGCCCTGCCTCCGATATGTTGATGCCAAGCTAGCCATACTAGATAGCGTGTCGGGATGATCCCCACCGAGATCTGTCTTGCGAGCCTCCATCACCTGTACCTTAAGCTGCTCGGCTTCTTCCCACCGACCCTGTCTCTGGTACGTCGATGCCAGATTGACCATACTCGACAGCGTGTCGGGATGATCCTTGCCGAGCTCCATGTTGCGAGCCGTCGTCACCTGTACCTCCAGCTGCTCGGCCTCCTT